TCCAATTCACAACTCCTTAAATAGGAGATTACAAGAGGTGACTTCTTATTCCATTCGGATAAGCTAGGACAATCCAACTTTAAATCAAACTCTTACTTCTAATAGGTAAACAGACTCCTACTAAGAACATAACTTTACTCCTATCTCTAATAGATAAGTAAGAACAGAACTGGATAAAGTAAGCTAATGGAGAGCTGGCAAGATAAGCTGACGTGGCAAGATAAGTTGCTGTGTAACCCCTCCTCACTGCTACTGCCGGCGGTGGCAGTATGTCCTTCCTACGAATGCATCCATAACATATTGTTCCAGCTTCCAAGCTTGTTTAATAAATAACAGTAGTTCAGTTCCAGACTTGTTTATTTTTAAACAAAAACAAGAGCATCAATGGAGTTCTCGATTTATTTATTTCTAAACAAAAGCAAGAGCATTAATGGAGTTCTAGATTTATTTATTTCTAAACAAAAACAAAAACATCAAGTACATTCTTGACTTCTTTTATTTATACAGGTTCAAAGGTTCTTCTTCTTTAGATTTCAGTTCACTTCACTTTGGTTTACAATTTCACAGTTACGCAGTTTAAACAATTACAGGAGGTTCTTCTTCTTCTTCTTCTTCTTCTTCTTCTTCTTCTTCTTCTTCTTCTTCTTCTTCTTCTTCTTCTTCTTCTTACACATAGTTTACATAGTTCTAGGAAAATGAGAAAAAATCATAGTACGGGCAATCCCGTGCCATCCTGTGGGTCGAGCCGGGCTGTGCTTCCCTCCCTTGGGATACTTTGGGGGGTTGGCACGGCACGACCCATGAACCGAGCCAATGCAGGCCCATGCCGGGCCAGGCCATGTCACGGGCCTAGCCTGTGTCAGGCTAGGCTACGGGCCAGGCCTTGGGCCTAGGCCGAATTGGGCCAGAAAGGCCTAGACTTTTTCTTTATTGCTAACTTTCCTTTGAACTTTGCACGCTTTGGGAACAAATTGAAAAAATAAAAAATCTAACAAAGAAATGAAAAGAATACTTACCAAAATACAAAATGGACAACAAATTGAAAAAAAACATAAATTTTATTTCATTTAAAATATAAAAAATTAAAAATTGAAAATAAAAAGTTACATTGCTGAAAAAATAACAAATAATTTAAATAAAGTTGAAAAAATTACTCCATTTCCTTGACGTTAATTATATAGTTCATCAGGTGTAGTAATGTCATGCCCTTCTTGTCTTGTAATTTATCTTGTTTCTTGTTTCTCATGGAAGAGCAAATTTTTGGCCAAGTGGCCAGTACCACCCTTGCTACTGAAGCTAAAGTCAATCCTACATTTTTGGCAAACAACTATTTTTCCCTTCTCTTCAACCTCTTCTCTTTTAAATATTTTCCAAATCGGGCTAGTGAACTTACCGTTAGGGAATTGATTTCGGGAAGAGGAGCTAACCATTATTTTTAATCCTAAAAAATAAAAATTAATTTAGTTGCACTTACTCGAACGATTGGATTATTGTTTCAGAATTTTAACTTGATTTCAATGGTTGAAGCCTCTCAAAGCCTCCTAAATGGCTAAACTGCTAAGTGCTTAATTGCCTAAGTGTATGACAGTATGATAGTATGAGACTGTATGAGAATTGAGGTGAGAGACTGAGAGAGTATGAGAATTGAGAAGAGAATTGTTGAATTGGTGTGATGAGAATGATGGACTAGTGTGGAGGATAGGGTTATTTATAGGAATTGAAAATAATCCAATTGTCCAAAATACCCTAAAAACTAGTTGTTTTTTAGTTGTTGATAGGGGCATTTGGTTATTATAAAGTCACTTATCACTTTGCCTAAATACATCCCTAAACTAGTTGTTATACAGTTGTTAGGGGGGCATTATTGTCATTTCATCTCTCCCAAAGCCAAAATACATAAATACCCCCTTATACAGTTGACTCGTTCTGACAAAAAATAAAAAATAAAAAATGGCAAAAAACCATTAGACGGTTTGAATAGTTTGAATGGTTGACCGCGCGAGTCAGCGATTTGCTGACCAAATCAACGATTTTTGGTCAAAAGACAGTTCTGGGGTAAAACGGAACCGGTCAGGTGATCGGTTCTCAATTTTTTTCTGTCCGACCGTCTGGTCCGACCGGGTTTTGAAAACATTGGTTTATAGCTCTTGGGGGTATTTTTGAAAAAAACCCAAAAAAGTTGAAACTAGCCGTTGGGGGGGGTCTCCAATAGCTAATTCTTTTGGCGAGTTGAGCCGGGCCAACCTGGTCTATGAACTTGAAACCCCAAGCCCGACATGACCCATACAATCGTGTCATGCCGACTCAAAATCATGCCAAGCCACAGGCGACTCAGCCTAATTTACACCTCTAAGTTAACGTTATTGAGTGCACTACACATTATACAAGAGTTTTAGGAAGGGTTTACCGTAAACCAAAAAGAACCCGATTTACAACTAATAACTTAATAGGTATGACGTAACAATTCATCATCCCAGCATGTTTATTGGTCCAAGTCCATGAGCCATTTACTTGTGGGAGATATTTATGATACCAAGGTTCAAAATATAGTCATGTATCAGCCCGTATCGGAGCCTTCCTGATATGCCCCTATAGGGGTGTTTCGAGTTGATGAGTGGTTCAGGGGGTAGACCGGCCTTAGATTGGCCCTTTTGAACAAGATTTGAAAAAATATTAAAAAAAAAACAAAAAACAATACCAGTACAAGCCGATACATCCTACGCACGCATCACCTTGTATCGATATTTTGAACCTTATCCGATACATGGTGAGATGTGCCATAAGGTCGATGTGTGAAAAAAGACTACACAACAGAGATAATCCATCCCTAACCCAGGTGAAGGCAGGATTCGATCCTAAATCTCCACTACAATCATCAGGAAACCCTATCAACCAACTTATTGGCACCTTGCAAGCATAACCTGGTAGTTGACACCTTACTTTGTTGATGGGTCACAATTAAGATATTAAATTCTTTTCGTATGTATTTTTAGTCATTTCCTTCTTTAATAACAATAATCTTCATTTACCAAATTTTGATGAATATATAATACTAATGGCATAGACAAAACTTTCAACGTTTTTTTTTTTTTTTGCATTTTATTTACTTTATATTTTTGTTATATGATTTAAGCTGTCATAACCTAGACGATTGGATTAGAGATCCACCATAAGACATGATAGTTGAACCGGTGACATTGACAAAACCTTTTCCATGTATATATAGAATGATGCCATTCTAATTACTTATTTAAATTAATTGTTTTCCATGACATTGATAAAACATCTGATCATTTCTGTACTGTTCGAATTTCGATATACACTATTTTAGTTGGGTATTAGACCTTTTCATGGACGGGCCAATCCAGCCTGGCCCAATGCAAGTTAGGTTTGGACAGGATTTCAGGCCCGTGGGTTTGGGCTCTGGTTTAAAACATTAATCCTGACCTTTTTTCGGGTCGGGTTCAAGCTTTTTCAAAAAAGCTCAGTTTGAATTCAAGCCCGAATGATAATGTATTATATAATAAACAAATATATAAATATATATATATATATATATAATATTTTTCTTTATTATTCTTCTTTTTTTTTCAAGTAATTAATAGTGACATCTTTCATTGTTTTTTAGGTTTTGAGATCTTTCAATATAAATAAAATAGTTTTTAATTAAATAAAAAATATTTTTTCTAAATTTTTGGTTGGACTCGGACTCAAAACCCAAGCCTGATGGTCAAACCTGACCCGTGAATAGGTCTATTGGGCATCAAAGTGTCTTTGGATTTAAGTATTTTACAAAAATTTATAATATTTTACTCCCTAGTTCAGCGAGGGATTATTGAACTCAATCGATCAATTATGTTAAATAAAAAAATGTGTAAATATCAGTATACATTTTCCAAAGTTTTTCAAATATATTGTCTTCCACTACTCACCAAATCAATGTTCCAAACATCACCCCCAAACTGCAAGCTGCAAATAGTTTTGAACCGATAGATTATCAGACCCTGCTAAGGTAGAACTCTAGCAGAGCATTAATGAAACGTGGGACTGGTCCTCATCAAAGCCCCCATCGTCTCCTTCTCCATGATCATTTTTGTCCATTTGTTCTTGATCACCCTCACCAATAGGAATATTATATTGTGGAGGAAGTTGTAGGAAAAGGGGAATTTTTGCCTACGCTAGAGTTGGAGATGTAAATAGATTGGTTTGGAGTCAAATATATCTAAATCTGATTCGATACTATTAAGAGCAGATTCAAAGATTCGATCAGATTTTATAAATATGGATTTGAGTTCAAATTGGATGAAGAAGTCGAATACTTGGGTCTGATCCCATCTGATTTAATTTTTAAAAAATAATAAAATATAACAATTTAAATAAAAAAACAAAAAAATATAAATATCTTTTCAATTGTTTTCATCATATATATATATATATATGTGTGTGTTTTTATAAAAAAAAATATAACAAATTTATAAAAATAAATATATATATCAAATGGGGTGATCCAAATTCAATCCAATTTTCTGATTGGACTTTTGTATCCGATCTGATCAGATCCAAAGATTCAAAATGAGAATATTCAAATATGACAAAATAGGATCGGGTTTCAATCTTCGGATCGGATCATGCATTTGCACCCCTAGCCTAGACAAAGGAAGGCGAAGGGGGTGGTAATTAAGGTTCTAATGGGCCTTGCACTGAAGCCGAGTTCGGCAAGGTTGGGTTTTTCAAAATACTTATAATGTCATATGGTAAATGATGTAGACGGACAGTTAACGATGGGAGGTTTTTGTCCGCTAATAGAGGACTTCTAAGTCAAATTTAAAAAATAAAGGATCCTTTCATTATTTAGAAGAAATCTTGGGGAAGGTTTAAAAGTTTTTTACCCAATTTTTATTTGGCGGAGAATTTTCGATATTTAAGAAAATGCGCGGTATTATTTCTTACGGGAGAGGAAACTAATTCCTCTATCTCATTCAGATTCAGTCATTCTCATCCGCCCTGCAGCGCTAAAGCCGAACGCCGTAAACTTAGAAGACGATTTTCTCCGTGATCGGAAAACACAAAGACCACCATGACCCTGTATACCGTCCGAATCAACAACGAAATCATCCAAACCACGGTTACCTGCAAGGCCTCCATTGTCGATCAATGGATCCGCGGTATCCTTTACATCCACCGTTGGCGACTTCATAAGCTCATAGTGGGCTTCGATGTAGAATGGAGACCGAGCCTCAATCGTAGTATGTCTAATCCAGTCGCCATTCTACAACTGTGCGTGGGACGTAGGTGCCTCATCTTCCAACTCATTCATGCAGACTACTTTCCTGATTCGCTTTTCAACTTCTTGGAAGACCACAGATTCACTTTCGTCGGAGTCGGAATTCAGCAGGACGTGCAGAAGCTTTCCAGGAACTACAGTTTTTCGTTTAGTTTTCTGGAAGATCTTCGGAGCTTGGCTGCGTACCGGTTTGATATGCCAGAGCTTTGGAATGCGGGGTTGAAGCGGTTGGCATGGGAGGTTCTCAGGGTAGAGATTGATAAGCCAGTACATATTACTTTGAGCAATTGGGATGCTCATTTCCTTACTGAGGCTCAGGTGTGTTACGCTACCGCTGATGCTTTTCTTTCTTTCGAGATTGGGAGGGTTTTGCTTTCTTGAAGGTTGGAACTATTAGGGTTTCTTGTTTCTGCTGTCTGGTGGATTACAATGTAAATCTTGATAGCCTTTTGTAGTGGGTTCTGCCTGTCGAAGAAAAAGCTTTTGTTCTTTTTGTTTTTCTTTTCGCTTTTGGGGAGAATTAAAGATCTATCATCTATGGGTTCAATCAGTTCTGAGTTACTTGGGTATTGGAGCCATGGTTGCTTCTGAAGATTTAGAGATGTAAAGTTTAGTGGTTTCCTCAATCATTTCACAATACATACTGTCGAACGATTCTGGGGTAATACTTCTGTTATGGTTTTCATCCATTAGATAATTTTGATATCTTGGGGATTCGCCAGTTGCCACGACCCACGACCATACTCTACGTCCATTAATTATTAATAATTCGTTAAATTAGTTTTTATTGATTATGCCATTAATTGTTTCTTTTAATTTACTTATTAGTTTATTTTAATTAAATTATTAATAAGGATCAATTAATGAATTATTAATTAATTAGTTTTTTTTTTGTTTATTATTAATTAATTAACTAGTTTTTTGTTTATTATTATTAATTAATAATAATATTTTTATTTTATTAATACATATGAATTAATTAATAATTTAAATATTTTATTTTGAAGAATTAATTAATTATTAAATTGTTGTTAATTGATAGTTTTATTAAATTATTTTATGAATATGCTATTAAATAATTGATAATTTATTTGAGTCATGAGTTTAATATTAACTCTTTAGTGTTTTTTGTTGTTTAAAATTTAAACAAAATTTCCCCTACATTCCCGGTGGTTTTCACATCCCAAGAATTGGTATCTACATTCTACAATACCTTTTCCCCATTACATTTCTTGACATTCCAAATATAACATGGGAAGAGATAAATATTCCATATTTTCCCTTCCATACTACAAACCAAAAGGATCCTTAGGGTCCGGATAAGTTTCAGGATTTGTGCTTCCCAAGTCTAAACATACAAAGTTACAATTTGTACTAAATCCGCAACATTTTCTGACTCTATTTAATCATTCTCCCGCTCCAATTACTACACAAAATTCTGGCTCGACTTACATATTGTTACACAAAATTCCTTTCTAATCGCTATTATTGACGTAAAATAAGTGTACAGCTTTTTCAATACTTTGAGACCAATAGGTCTATTTATGAATTTAGAGATGGCAACTAGCTGAGCTTTTCATGAATTATTCGAGCTCGGTTTATGAAAAGCTTGACTTGGTTCGGTTTCAACTAGTTCGAGCTTGAGACTAATTCATTGGCTCGATTATTAAACGTGTCGAGCTTGAGCCTATTAGAGTTCGGCTCGTGAGGCTCGCGAGCCGGCTTGAATATATATATATATATATATATATAATATTATAAGTATTAATTATTATAATTTTTATTTTTTATTTTTATAAAATATTTTTTCTCAAAATTGAGATCGAGAAGACCCGAGCCAAGGAGCTTATAAATTTTTGACTCGAGCTGAGATCGAGCTAAAGGTTTTGGCTCGAACTGAGCTCGAGCCTTGTAGAACAATCTCGAGCCGAGATTGAACCTGGTACTGCTCAGCTCGGCTCGGCTTGAATCCACCCCTATCTGTGATCGATGGGACAATTTGTTTGGTCCAATGTGAGTCCACTACAAATGGGTCAGGTCCAATCCAATGAATATTTTAGACTGTTTTGGACCAGTTCAATTTAATGGCTGGACTGTCCAATCAGTTCAAAATCATTTTAATTTAGATTGATTTCAACTCAAATCTGATCCATTGACACTTATATTCTTATCTTATATCAATGGATTGGATATTGGTTTAATCCAACTGAATCCAATATAAATTTATTATGGACGGACCAGTTCCGGTCCAATTTAATAAGCATTTTGAACCAGATTGGTCCAATCCAATATGTCTGGTTGGTTCGTCCAATCTGTCCAAAGTGATTTTGGATGGGACGCAATTCAGTCCAAAATCGATCGATTGACACCCATGCCAGCCTGCCCAAGTTGCGTCTAAAGAGACTTTTTTTGATAGATAATTGAAGAGATAGTTAAGTTCGACGAATTGAAATAATTATATTAAAATAAATAAAAACACATTAAATTACTTATTTTATTTATAAATTCAAACTTTTGTGCGGTCAAATCCAAACATTGAAAACAAATTAGAAATATATTATTAAAACATTTATTTTATTAATAATTTCAAACTTCTTGTGCTTTGAAATCGTTTCATTATCTTAAATTTTTTATTATTTTATAAATTGTAAATGCAATATATAACCAATGAATCGATTCACATTATCTTCGAATTCGATATTATTGATTAATGGATCATAACTTACATATTTATTTTTAGCCACTTTCATCTTTAACAACAATAATCTTCATCTACAATTTTTTTTTTTAATATTATTGATCAAATAATACGAAGGGCAGTAAAAACTTTATTCACCTTTTTCTTATTTGCATTTTATCTACTTTTATGTTTTTATTATATAATTTAAGATGTGATAGCATAGACGATTGAACTTGAGATCCCCCACAAGACAGGATAATTGAATTGCTGAATGTATGTAATATTAGATTTTGAAAAAGTATGGGAGTTCTAATATAACATAACTGAATATTTAGGACTTATTACATCTTTATGTAAAGTTTTAAATTATTCCTATCAAAGAATAAAGATATCACATTGCTTACTTTTCATCCGTTCACCTACTAAAGGCTTTAAAAAGATTAAAGATGTTAATAGTGAAGAATACCATTAACCATTATAACTAATTCGGTTTTTTTTTTTTTTTTTTGATTCATGGAGCAATTTTTCCATCATAGATTTGGAAAAACTTTATTTGTTTGGAAAAAACATGCTCAGTTTCTTTTTTGTCTTCTTGACTAAAAAATGATTTGCAATATTCTTTTACCTTTGCTCATCATGTGCCAGATGCTCCCAAAACAATCCAAGTTGGTTTTTTCCATAACGCTGTGTTTGTTTTTGGTGTAAAGTTTTTATCCATATAAAAGTACATCAATTGATTTAAATAGTGAGCTGTTGTAAAGTATAAAAAATTTATTTGTGCATGGAAAAAATTACATCCATAAAATCAATAGTCTTTACATCGGTTATCGTTTTACCGATGTAAAACTCTACTGTAAGTGGAGTTTAGGTGTAAAACTTACATTGAAATCAGATGCCTACAAAATTGAACTGGGGTGTAAAATTTACACTTGTTTTCGTTTACACGAAAAATAAATGCAGCAAAAGGGAGTTTGGATCTGCTAACCACAACACATTGCTGGCCATGCTCATCCAGCCATATGCTGAGAATATTGGTGACCACAATACAACCGATGTTCCATATGTGCGGCTGGATGAACCTGGTCAGCAATGTGTTGTGGTAAGTAGATTTGAAGTCTTCCAAAGACTACATTTGGTTGCAGGGCAATTTTATTTATACTAATGAAAAGTAAGCAATGTGATATCTTTAGCCCTCTATATATCATAACAAAAGAAAACTATCCATATTCTAATAATTATTGAAAAACTATTTTTTAAATAAATATTTCTTGAAATTTTAATAATTATTTAAAATAATAGTAAATATAAATTTAACATTATTGATTCCACAATGTAAATTTAGCATTACTGATTCCCCATACTTAGTACGAGGTCATTCACTAATGAATAGAATAACAAATGAATGGGAGTGCAAATGAATAGAATGCAATTTCTGGTTTAACTTTGTTTTGGGTCTACACATATTATTTTATTTCATTTGCATCACAATCTATCAAATTAACTTTTGAAACATAAATAAATCATAATTTACATTCAAATCATTTGCACTATCATAATTGAAGACTTATCTAATGCACTTATCTAGGAAACAGAATGCACTTATCTAGGAACATAATTGAAGACTTATCTAATGCACTTATCTAGGAAACAGAATGCACTTATCTAGGAACAGAATTGAAGACTTATCTATTCTAACAGAATTAAAACTGAATAGATAAGGCTTATCCCAACTAAGAGCTAACATGACCGGGTCTTCTGCTGCTATCCACTTTGACCGGGTCTTCTGCTGCTAGGAACTGCTGCATGCATGCACGTATCAAATGGAAACCGAGTTTTAATCGTCGTGTTAATCCGGTCGCCATTCTACAACTGTGCGTGGGACGTAGATGCCTTATCTTCCAACTCGCTCATGCAGACTACATTCCCTCTTCGCTTTTGGACTTCTTGGAAGACGACAGAATCACATTCGTCGGAGTCGGAATTGAGAAGGACGTGGAGAAGATTTCCCGGGACCACGATTTAAGTGTTTATTATTGGAAGGATCTCCGGAGTTTGGCAGCGAAACAGTTCTCCATGCCAGAGCTTAAGAATGCGGGGTTGAAGCGGTTGGCATGGGAGGTTCTCAAGGAAGATATTGATAAGCCAAGATATATCACTTTGAGCAACTGGGACGCTTATTCCCTTACTGAGGCACAGGTGCGTTATGCTACCGCTGATGCTTTTCTTTCTCTCGAGATTGGGATGGAGTTGCTTTAAAGTTGAATTGAAACTATTAGGGGTTTCTTGTTTTTGCCGTCTGGGGGATTAGAATGTAAATCTTAATAGCTTTTTACCGTGGGTTCTGTCAGTCTGTCTATTGGAATCGAAGAAAAAGCTTTTGTTCTGTTTGATTTTTGGGTAGTATTGCAGATCTATCATCTATGGGTTTAATCAGTTCTGAGTTTCTTAGGTATTGGAGCCATCGTTGCTTCTGAAGATTTGGATATGTAGAGTTTATGGTTTCCTCTGTCATTTCACAATATATTCTGTCGAACTATTCTGGGGTAATATTTCTGTTACAGTTTTTGATCCATTAGACAATCTTGATTTCATGGGGACTTGCCAGTCGCCACGACCATACTCTACGTCCATTTCACAGACTACAGAGATTGTTTTATCTTACAATTAATTGATTAAAATGGTTAGAAGAGATCTATCAAGAAAATGGAGCTACCGGAGAAAAAAAAATGGTCACTTAATTAAATGGTGGCATAATAGTCATTGTTTTCTCTTTATCTCTTTCCTTCTTTCCGAGTTAATGACATTTTATTGAACTAGCAGCTTGAAATAATCAGACGAAGAACACATTGTTCCTTGTAAAATTTCTATTGAAATTCGGAATTCACGTCTCAACAAGAAATTTGATTTAAATCATTGAAAACGTAAGTCACCTATACTGTTTTTATAAGCTCAGGGACTCTTAAATCTTTATGGGAAGCACAAGCACCCCTGAGCTTAACCTTCCTTTTCCTATCTTTTCCTTCAAACCAAACATAGCCCTTAGGGTGCGTTGATAAGTTTGGGGATTTATGCTTCCCAAGCCCAACCTTATAAACTTCAAATTTGTACTTCGAAGTGTTATGGATTCACACTACATTGTTTTTAATGCAACTCTTACCAAAAACTAACAACAGTTTCTGACCATTTTGTTTTTCACAGCCTAAACCAAAACTTCAAAAGCAAAGGCTTACTCAAACAGAACCTGTGTGAACCCAATTACCTTTCAAATAGAACCTGACGTTTTTGCATGCAACCCATTAGGATGGCGTTTGGTATCGTCGGCGTTTTCTGGGCTTGATTTAAAAAAAAAGAACATCCACATTCAAGATGGTGGATAAAACGTTTTTCATCTTTTTTTGCTATTTGGTAAGTTGATTTTCATTATTGTTTTTTTGTACATCAGAGAACTGTTGGCAGCAATGGTTTGCCGATACAATTTGGCGTTTCATACATTGAAAGCATCATGATTTACGAGGCATGGATGCTTTTTACCATTTTTTTTATAAAATGTCCAATCAAACAGCATTATAAATCTACAGTTTTTTTAATAAATGGCATCGATACCAAACATCTGTTAGGTTTTAATCATTTTCTCACAAAATTTCTTGCTCGACGTACATATACACACAATATTCAATTCCTTTCAAGTTGCTATTGTTGACCTAAAATAAGCGAACAACTTTTTGAATGCTTAAGGCCCATTAGGCCTTTCTTAGCCTGATTTAGGCCTAAGCCCAGCCCAAGTGGGACAAAGTTCCTTGAAGCTAACTAAATGATCAAACTATTACAACCCTTAGGGTTATATGTAGGGGTGAGAAAAAAAAAACCAAAAAGCCAAATTGATCGAAAAAAAAAATGATTGAAATCGAACCGAAAAATCGGTTAATTGAACTGGTCAGTTTGGTGCTTTTAAAAAAACTAAAGGTATCGGTTTCGGTTAACCAATTTAAAAAACCGATGGTAAATCGAACCGACTGGTATACATGTTTTTCTATATATTTATGTATATTATATATTATATATATATATTTTTATAATAAATATCATAAAGTCAAAAAAACCAAAAAAATGATGAATCGAACCATTGGTTAACCGAACCAACCAATCGGTTAACTGACTGATTTCGATTTGATTCCGTTTACCGGTTTTCCAAAAACTAATACTACCGGTTCGGTTTACAAAAAAAGACCACGGTTTGGGTACGTAAGCACCTTTGGTTATATGGTCGAATATAATTTAAACATGGTATTTTTTGTTACAGGCAATTGGTCAATATCATTAAATTGTGTGTGTTGATTGATTAATATATGATTTAGGGATTCTCTTGCAACATAATTCCTTCATATAACCATACTGTATAGAACCACGATGGGTATGGAAAAGATGAGTTGCTGATTGAACGAGGAAACTTTCCAAGGGAGCGCACATATAGTTCTGAATGCTTTTGACAAATTGCGTAGATTAGTATCAACTTTAACAGCAAAAAGAAAAGACCATTACCCAAACAACAATCAGTTCATGCAAAACCGGATTAAGTATTACAACTTTTTAGTATTGTCACATGGATTCATTCACTACGAGTGGGGTTAACAGTGGACAAAGGAAGTAATGAGATCCAAATCAGAATTTAGAAATTAGGCTACCTTTGGCAGACAGACCTAAAAGTAAGGGAAGGCCATTCCTTATTCGATTAAAAAAGAAGTGTCCCCTTCTTTTTGACCCTTGAGAGTTGAGAGCTGAGGCCAGAGTTGAAAGCATTTCCATTGTTGCTTTACAACCAAGTAAAACTATGAATGGTGCATGTACATTAGTGAGTTTCTCATTTTCTCTAAGTAGTGGGATCTAAGGTTCTAAATATTGATACGCCTGATATCTCGGTAGGAGTGTATCGGGTAGTATCAGTATTTTTTTTTTTTTTTTTTCAAATTCAGTTTAAGGGGTTGATTTAAGATTCCTTCACCCTCTGAACTGGTCAAAACCCCGATATACCCTCTGTAAGGACATATCGGGGTGCTCCCGATACGATATGTATCAATCAATACGTATCGAGTTTTTGAACCTTGGGGGGACCCTCTAAATTTTCACATGAATCAGTCTGCGGATGTCAATGGTTCTGCTTCGTTACAGGGGTGTCTCAACTGAATCTGATTCGAAGCAAACTCAACACACCAAAACCTAAACCCCACCAAATAAAGAGAGGATACCGAACCTGATCCACCCACCCTGTCATAGATGTATATAAGTACACCTTTACTCAATCAAGCTTATATTTACAAGTGTCGGATGGGTCTCTAACTACTTGCAGCCGAGACTTGAGATTAATTTGAATCCCAAATGGTCTACTCGGTTGTGTGGTCCCTTCAAAACCAAAAATACTGTTAATTGAGGCTATTCTAGCCGTAGTGACTCTCATATGATGACATATATCTCGCCAATTTGTAGTATCAACTCAAAATGTCTCCGTTGAATCAGCAATAGTACTAAACTTGAGATTTGAATAGAATTGCCTTGATGTACCCCATAGATCTTTTTATTTGAGATATGAAGCTATGGCTGTGTTTGGTTGTGAACTTATTTGCATTGATGCAAAATTATGGTAGTGTAAATGATTTTGATGTAAATTGTGATTTTTTTTTTATTTCAAAATTTACTTTATTTTGTTTGATTGCAGTGCAAATGAAGCAAATTAAGATCTGAAGTATAATTAAGTAAAATTGCACTGCAACCAAACACCGCATAAAGAACTTTGATCAATCAGATCTCCTTGAATTTCCATGATTTTTTATGAGTTAGTTTCCGTCAAAGGTGTGTAAGTGCAGGAGATTGGCAGTGCATAATTAGGTAAGGCTCAGTTTGCAAAGAGTACAAATCCAAAAGTATAGAGTACAAATACATATAAAATATATATGGGTATTTATACTTCCTCCAAACTGAGCCTACAAATACAAATACATACAAAATAATATAAAACATAAGATTTTGCACTATATACAAATATAATTCAGAAAAAAAAGTGTTAAGAGCAGAGACTAAAGGCAAGGGATTGAATCCTCTCTCTTTAACTAGAACAGTGCAACCTCACGAAAGCAAACAATAAATAAATAAGGTTGAGTTGGGATAAGCTCCAAGTTTGTGTTTTGAAAGCCAATAAACACAAGTCCCTAATTTGCAAAAATTCAAAAAGCAAAAGTTTATAGAAGAAAACACTGCTTTTACAAACATTTGAGTGTTTTCATCATGGTTTTTCAAACCACCTTGATCCGGATGATTGGACTGTTTGGCCTTGAAATCGTTCAGGGATCCAAGCAAATGATTTCATTTTACCCCAAACTACATCCTTAGCCAAAAACCATCGAATGGATCAATGATCCGTGTGATCAACCCGTTGATCTATTCAATAGTTTTTAACCATCTTTTATTTTTAGTTTTTATTATCACACCAGACTGCCCATTCGATCCAAATGATCCCAAAACCGATGACCATAACGATTCCGTTTCCTAATCGCTCATCCACATTAAATATTACCTCAAAAGCCGTAATGCGCATTACAGCTTTAAAATTAACTTTATTTCGTACGAGATTATGGACTTTATAATCTTTATTCCATGCCATATGAAACCAACCGTCTTCTTCCTCTCAATGTGGGCCGGTGATTAATGCATCAGCAACTTTAGCCATTGATAATGTTAGAAAAGCGGTGTCTTCACACACAAGAAAAGCAGTAAACTCATCACCTTCCACATCCTATAACTTTGTCAAGATTTCGATCCCTAAAGCTCTCGCTCTTCGAGATATATCCTATCCCAGTTTAATTGATTTCTTCTACTTATTTGTTCATGCTAGCTAGGCCCAACTGATATCCAACGCCATGGCTACGTACAAATTCACAATATCGGATGATACCATCCTCACCACCCTCACGTACTTGGCCTCCGACGTCGATCAATGGATTACCGACATCATGTTCATCCACCGCCGGCGACTTCACAAGCTCATAGTGGGCCTCGACGTCGAATGGCGGCCTAACACCGTCGGCGGCGTCTTCAATCCGATTGCCACCTTGCAACTCTGCGTTGGGCGGAGATGCCTCATCTTCCAACTCCTCTACGCAGACTACTTCCCCCGGTCGCTCATCAAATTCCTCCGGAACAAAAAATTCATGTTTGTCGGAGTGGAGATCGAAAGGGACGTCCAGCAGCTCTGGAGAGATCACAGGCTCAGGGTCGCTCAAGCGGTAGATCTCCGACAATTGGCTGCGACTCAGTTCGATGCGAAGAAGCTGATGAACATGGGGCTGAAGAAGTTCGCCAAGGAGGTTCTTGGGAAAGAAATCGATAAGCCGAAGGACATTGCGAGGAGTGGGTGGGATAATGAGTTCCTGACGGAAGCTCAGGTTCGTTATGCTGCCGGTGACGCTTTTATCTCCTTCGAGGTTGGTAGGGTTTTGATTTCGGAGAATCATCAGTGATTTAAATTCATTAGTTGTTCTTCTTTGATCTCACTAGCAGTAGGCCAGTAGCAGACTAGCAGTCATGCTTCTGGGCGCATCAATAAATTATTGTACCTACTCTATCACTTCTGAAAGAATGAGATAAGCCCTAATTAATTAATCTCCATCTGTTTTGGTTACTAACTCTAACAGTCTAACCTGTAGTAATTAAACCAATAACCAAGATTATCGACTCGGGAGAAATTCTTTGTAGGGGCTACAAAGATGAACTGAATTTCATGTGTCAATAATTGTGTGAATGGCGCTACTTGTTTCATTTTTATTTTCTATAGTTCGCCAGTTCGCCTTTTTAGGTAAAGGATTATAGTTGGTTTGATACTTTGATTGATTTGTAATTTATTCTCTAAAAGGTGAAAAAGATTAAAAGCTCTATCTTTTTGTTGTTGATTTCATTATTTATCATAATTTTATTGTTTAATTTTTGTGCCGATGTGGCCATGTTTTTGAAAATCAGATCAGATTGGACGGTCGGACCAGTTGATCGAGGAACCAGTTCTGTTTCACTTTAAACCATCGATGAACCACTAATTCGGGTGGTCAAACCATCAAACCATCAATACATCAACCCTTACAATGGCTTTTAATCATTTTTATTTTATTTATTTTTTAAGTCAAAATAGATCATCCATTCAAACTGAACATTTAGACTGTTTGACCTGGTAACCGGTTTATTGGCGATGCATATCATTCAGACTGTTTGGAGGGTTATTGGCGTGGTGCATATCATCAAATACCCAAAAAATAGTCTAATGAGTGGGGGATTTGGTAATTGGAAATGGTATTCTTCTTGTTAGGCTGTGTTTGAATGCGGTGGAAAAATTTATCATATAAAAGTCAGTCGATGAAAAAATCCATTGTGGAGAAGTTTATTAATTTAAAATTGTTGGATCGTTGAAAAATTTTAAGTGAGAATGAATGTAAAAGTACATCGATTTTTATTGATGTATTATTTACATCAGTACTAATGTAAAAGTCAACCAAAAAACATGATTATAACGATTCTTGGTGTAACTTTTATATGGAAAACAAACAATTGCATAAGTGGACTGGGTGTAGAGTTTTACATCGGTGCACTTTTACACCGAAAACAAACAAATGTAAATGTACTATTAAATTTTATATCGATTCACATTTATACCTCAATCAAACACAACCCTAGAGTTTTGACTCTCGACTTTTGAATGAAAGTAGAACATGAAAAGATCGGATGGTTTAGAACTCCACTTCAGGGTTCTCTCAATATGGTCATACTTTGTCAATCTTGACAAAGGATTGGTCTCTCGTTCTTTTGGTAAAGATGAATGGATAGGTTGATGAATCCCATGGAGTGGGAAAAACCCTAGTTCGGCCATAGTTATAGTTATGGATGAATTATTTATCCACCGGTCAAAAACTCAAATCGTTCCTCTTATCACACCTTACCTATGAACATTATATTTATAAGTAGGGTTGCAAATAGGATGGGATCGGATTCGGTAGAGAGTATATCTAATCCGATTTGATAAAAAACTTGATTGATCTGAATCCGGTAAGAATAAGTCAGGTTTTTAAAGTTATGTTTTGAATTCAAAATGAAAACTATATAACAAATAATATATAATATATAATATTTTATAATTAACGGATGAGATCGGGCTATAGCGAATCCGATTGGGGTATATCCAAATATGATCTATTAATTTCAGATTTATTAGGATCTTGTTAGATCAGATTCAGATTCGGATAAGATGTCATTCGCCTATTTCGAATTCAAATATTGGCTAATTCGATCCGTTTACACCCTACTTGCGCAAAACGAACGAAGCCTCAAGGCCCTCAACCTAATAAGCTAATACCTTTCTTCTGCGCAAATTTCCTCGCCACGTCAGCCGGTCAAATAATCGCAAGATTATCGATAATCATCAATTACGAGCCTCTAATTCGTAAACTGTTCATCTCATACATCAGGGCCCTTGATTCACACCGATCACGGATCTCCTGGAAGGAAAAGGCGTATAAATAGACTGAGAGCTCCGCATCCAACCGCACATCGGGAGTGTGCTCTCAGCAAGCACCTTTCCGATTATTCTGTCGGTCCCACCTAACATCGTACAATGGCAGTTACAGAAGCTTAGCTGATAAAGATACATTCATATCATAACATATCCCGTCGTAGTCGGTGCGCGAAACCCTAGGGATCTTCTCTTCTTCAATCTTATAGAATCGAATGGGAATGAATCCAACTTGAGCGTCTCGTCCGATGGACAAGTGATCGAGAACTCCCTCGGTTTTAGGTGAAAAATCGAAGAACAAGGAGGAGGAGGAGGAGGAGGAGGAAGGAGGCATTCGTCATGAAGGATTTCGTAAATATCGAATCCCATTACAACCCCAACCCTTCCTACCAACGAACCTTCTCTGTAACCTGCTACCACCACTTCATTAAAACCACTGTCACTTCCACCCCCTCCGTTGCCAGGAACTGGTTGTATAATACTTTGTCCATCCACCGTTCCCGACGGCACAGACTTGTCGTCGGCCTCGGGGTCCAATGGCGACCGACTTTCACGCCAGGAACCCCACTTCGACCTTCAACTTTGCAGCTCTGCGTCGGCTCCCGCTGCCTCGTCTTTCAAATCATCCACGCCAAGTCTATCCCTCGAGCTCTTATACGTTTCCTCGCCGATCCTCGTACTACATTCGTCGGCGTCTGGAACTACAAGGACGCAGAGTTATTAATGAACTCCGAGCATAAATTGTCCATCTCGTGTCTTGTGGACCTCCGACATGTGGCTGCAAAGAGGATGGGCTGCAGTAAAAGGGTATCCATGGAGAAGTTGGCATCCATAGTTCTTGGTGCCGATGGTATGAAGAAGGCCAAATGGATTGGCCGAAGCGCCTGGGATTCTTTCTGGCTTAGCGAGGAGCAGGTGCTGTATGCCTGTTTAGATGCTTTTCTTTCTTTTGAAATGGGTAAGAGTCTCAGGGTATGGAACTGGAATCGTTAACCTTCCCATCATTAATCTGGAAATCAGGAGCTTCGATTTGATCTAATCACTCCTGTTTAACTTCCTTTTTTCATCTTTGGGATGGTTTTGCAAATTTGATGACACAACTGCTCATACTGTTGTACAGATTATATGGTAGATAGATTTTTCCCCTAATGTGAATGAGCTAGTTCTTCATTTCACCATTATACCATTCATTAATGCATATTACGTGCCTGGAAAAATACTTTGTCACTGAATTGAACTATAAATTTTGTTAGTTAATTTGCATAGCATACAAGTGAAACGGCATATATCGTTTGCTTTTTTCCTTTTTTAAATTGAGATTGAGCCCAAGAACATGTTTGATCTTTCCCTCCAATCAAATTCTTGGTAGACTGTCCAGAATGACTCCTAAAATCTGTTAAAGGGAACTTCTAGTTTGATTTCTTTTTTACTGTTTATACAAAATGAATAGATTGATATTTTCGTAGTCTTCGTGCTTATAGAATATAGATGGTTGTGCAATGGGGTGGGAAAGGGCTGTGGGGATCTTGTCAATTGACATGTATAGGATCTAATCTTGTATGTGACCCAACAGTTCTACTTTGGCAGAGGTCAGAGGGGCAGGTTCTTCCCTTTTCTGATATTAATACAACACATGCATCAATTGTCAAAGAAAATGTAGATCGTCTGATCGTCTGATAGGTCATAGAAGCTACAGGTAGGTCCCAAGATTAAGAGAAACATGAAAATATAATATCGTTGATCTAAATGGACTGGATTTGGTCCAACCCGATCCCCTCCAATGGTGAGACCACTTACAAATGGACTGGATCCAATCCAATGCAAATCGAATACAAACTAAATCCAATCGTGAATGGACTGGATTGGATCCAATTTAAGCTGAATGAAATATCAAAAATTATATAAAAAAATAGAACATATAAAACATTATAAAAATATATTAAAATGAAGAAAATATGAAAATTACAAAAATAAATCCTTTGGCATTGAAAAAGCACTTTTATAAAATTGCTTTCAAAAAAGTACTTGATAAAAGTATTTTTATGTGTTTTTATGGAAGCACTTTTACGAAGTATTTTATAAAAGTACCTTATAAAAGTGATTTTATAAAAATACCATTTGTATAAATATTTTTGTAAAAGTATTTTTATAGAAGTACTTTTGTAAAAGTGTTTTTATAAAAGTGCTTTTGTAAAAGTGTTTTTATAAAAGTGCTTTTGTAAAAGTTTTGAAATGCTTTTATAAAAGTGTTTTCGTAAAACTTATTTTGTAAAAGTACTTTTATAAAAGTACTTCCATAAAAGTGCTTTTGTAAAAATATTTTTAAAAAAGTCTGTAAAAGTTCTTATGTAAAAGTAATTTTATAAATTGCTTTCATAAAAGTACTTTTGCAAAAGTGCTTTTATTAAAGTGTTTTCGTAGAAGTGATTTTATAAAATTACTTTTATAAATGTGCTTTTGTAACAGTGCTTTCATAAAAGCATTTTCGTAAAAGTGAATTTATCCAAGTTTCAATTTTAATGGGTTTCAAATTGGCCAAGGGTTTGGCCTCATGATTGGATTATTGGAAATTTTATTTGGGTTCAATTCAAACCAATAAGAATATAGACCAATTTATTTTGGATTGGCCCAACCCAATAATTATAATGGACTTTGTAAATCTGATTTGATTATATTTGAATCAAATCAGATCCAATCCAAAACTGGGTGATTGACACCTCTAGCTATTTTTCAACTAGTTTTATTTTAGTTCGATTGCAGTACATTTCAAAATTTTTATACATCAAAATTTCAAACAATTACATTAAAAACGGCACATGATCTATTTATTTTTCTTTATTCATGTTTCACAAAGATGCATTTATTATTAAAGATTGATTGTCATTGCATATATATATATTGATGTTTGATGTATAGTATTATATAACATTGATGTGAAGATGGTAAGACGCCACAAAATAATGACCTACACATTAGTCTTTAAACCCTACCTTAACCCAAATTCCAACCCCAATAACCTAAATCTTTTTCTGATTGAATTGGATTTGTTTCAGGCTTTGCCCAACCAAGTTATTACTTGTTACCTTTTCAAAATCTACTAATAAAGAACACATACCGATGTTCAATGATAAAGAGACAAGTAGGAAAGGGTGTAAACTGAAGGCAAGAAACAAATTAGCCTTTGAAAAGACTCTTATGCCACTGTCCACATACAGCCATAGGACGAGCATTCATCATCCAACACCCACAGGTGAAATCATTGTTGAGGGCTATGCTTGCTGGGTAGGCAGATCCGGACGCCAATGGATCAGGCTTAAATAGAAGAGTGGACTATTGCAACGTGTATTGTTGTGGAGTATGGGACCCGATCGATATTCTCTGAATGTAGTTGACTACTACACCATATTCTAATTGTTTGTTGCATGTAATTATATATGCCTAAATAAACATTTTCTCTTTTAGTGAATTAATGTGTGTACATAAATGTTAAAATTAATATATTCATTCTTGATTCGGACATGTTACAACATAATTTTGGTTATTCTGACTTATTTGTTTTCTTAACTAGATAGGATTTTAAAGGTTTAATCCAAGTAGGATTAGTCGATCCAGATTGGTACCAGAGCAGGGACGAATCGAAACGAAACCAGTAGTAACTGTCCCAGTGACATAGAATAGGGGATGCAGGCCCTTGGAGCTGCAATGTAGGCTCAAGAGGCGGCGTTTAGAGCTTTGGATGAGAGCAAAGGCATGATAAGAGAATTCAGCCAAATCGGGTGAATGCTCTCGAGGTAGGCGCCAACAGAGATAGGAATGACGGAGGAGAGGTGGTCAGAGAAATTGCCCGAGCACTTGCTGACAACACAGATCGGTTTACACTGGAGACTCTAATGACGAGGAGGCAGCAATTCGAGTTGGATGGAGGCAATTTTGTTTATGTTTACGAGTACACTGTAGAATTTCCTGCAACTCACAGAACGTAACAACCTGAGGGAGTCCGACAGCCAATTGGTGGTGCGATATTTGGAGGGCTTAAGGAGACCAATCTGAGACAAGATTGGAGTTGACATCATTTTGAACCTAACTGAAGCACAAAACATGGCACTGAAAGTGGAGCTCATGTTACACCAAGGTAACTGGATCGACGGCGTGTGAAGGAATTACCTGGATCAGACACAACCAACTAGTCCTGAGTCCTGACAGAGGGAAAGCACCCTAGACAAATTGTCCAGATTCAGAGAGGTATGGGAACTTTTGGGAAGACATACAAAGGAGACAGTTGACAAAGAAGCATAAAGAGATCAACCGAGGGGAGGGAACCACCAACCTCTATGCCCGACCAGGACCAGATAAGTGTTTTAAGTGTCTACTATAGTCCGGTCATCGATCCAATGAATGTCCCAGGAGTTGCACCATGAACATTATAGAGAACGAAGAAGGCCATAATAAACATGCCCCGGCCCCTTTTCAACAGCTGCTCTATAGAATGAGCCCACAAGAGCATGGCATATTCGTGAGAATATGGGTCCCTATGTTGTACGAACCCTACTCACACCCACCCAAGGGTTGGTCATCAACAGAATCACAATCAGGTGCAAGTTCCCAATTTTTAGCAGCTTTGATCTTCGTAGCGGCTACCACCAGTTTAGAATCCGACCGGCTGATGAGTGGAAGGCGATATGGTCAGAGCTCGGATCGTCTGTCCCTAGGGGACAGAAAAAATTTCTGTCTCCTCCAATGGAAATCAAACACGTCGTTCTCCTAAAAAATTTTCAAAATTAACGGTAGCCTGCACTCCAAAGACTTATCAATTTTGGTTTAAGCGCCTTTTACAATCCCACATTCCAAAATTTCTCTTCTCCGTATTCGTCCTGCATTCTTTTCCCTCTCCCACACAACCAAAGTTCGCCCGCACCAACATCATCGCACAACGCCATTGTTCGTCCGCTGCAATAGCCGGAGTCTTTTTCAACCACCGCTCATTCCTCCACTGCAAGCTTCCCGAATATTTTCACCGCTCACTGCTGATGTTCAGAGCCATCGGTTTTTCTTTCCACTACTACTCTCTGTTTTGCCTTCTAAGACAGTTTCTATTAGAGTACCAATGAAACCTGATGATTAGAGAAGAGGAGGCTACCAAGTTTTCCCTTTTCATTTTAGCGGCGCTTATTTTGGCTTGAAGCCGTTTCATCTATTTTTTTTCCAAGTTTTTATTCCTTTTTCCCTACATCTTCTTGTTCGGAAAAATTCCGCACTATAAAGGTGTTTTGTTTCTTGTAAATTAATCAGATGGAAGAAGATAAAAGTTATATGAGTCTCTCTCTCTCTCTCTGACTATGCGACATATGAGTTGCAAGCATATACTGGTGATCCTAACACCGCTTGTTAGTGCCGTTGACACTGGTGAATTCGGCGAGTGTAACGGGTGGTGCACCACCGCCTGCACACTTCAGTCCATTGCAATCTCCGGTGATGCATTTACCGTTTCCCGTGTTGTCAATGGTACATCTGGTGCGAGCCCAAAGCCGACGAGACCATCCAAATGGTGCGGTGAACTGTGTCGATGCAGCGGGTGCCAAAAACAAGTCACCCTCTCTAAGGTTGGCACCACCATTCACTTGGCAGTACCTTTTGTCACAAAGCCTTAAAGTCCAGATTAAAGGGTGGAATATTGCCGGAGAAATTAAGGATGTTAGTTAGAGTTTAGGAGTGTTTTTTTGTTTTTTTTTTTTTTGTAATAAAAGGATTACAGAGAAAAAGAAAGAGAAACAGATCAAAGAAACCCAATTCTTAACCATACGGCGAAGAGGAAGAAGAAAGGAGGGAGTTCATTAAAGCAAAGAAACATTTTGCCAGGATTCCATTAACTTGTTTTAATTAAAATCTCTTCTCAACAGTCACCTCGGGCGAAAGGAGGGCCGAAGGAAGAAGAGATACAGCGGAGGGGCGGTGGTTGGGTTGTAATGGCAGTGAAGAGGAAGAAAGGAAGAGGGAGTTCATTAAAGCAAATAAACATTTCGCCTGGATTCCATCAGCTTGTTTTAATTAGGATATCTTCTCAACAGTCACCTTAGACGAAAAGAGGGCCGAAGGAAGAAGAGATACAGCGGAGGGACGACGGTTGGTTGTAGTGGCGGTGAAGAGGAGTTCATTAAAATTGAGCGGGTTAATTAAATTTTCTATTCCTAGGGGACAGACGATCGGAACTCGTATGGTCATGGTGTTCTTACGCAAAGAACGACTCCCCAAAGACACGTATAATAAGTTACAACCTCGGTGTTCTGGACCATACAAGATCATGAGGTGGACCATACATACTGGTGGGACCGTTATTCTATAATGGAAGAAGTCTCATCGAGAATAATCAGCAGTAGCAAGAAACGCCCTGATGTCGGATCGGACACAGAACCGTTTTGGGGACCGGTTTAAAGGTCAAATGGTCTAACCATCCAGTTTCAATAGACAGCCTGTTCTGATTAAAAAATAAAAAATGACAAAAAACCCTTGTCCAGGTTGATGGGTCAACAGTTTGATTATCCATGTTAGTGAATTACTGAATAAATCAACGATTTTTTAACAAAAAATAGTTTTGGGGTGAAACAGACCGATTACCTAACCTATTACAGGATCAACCAGTCCAACCATCCGGTCCAGTCCAGTTTTCTAAACCATGAATTAAAGCAATATACCATTTAACCTCTTGGTTTTGCATTTCGTCCAGGCTAAGGACCTAAGTCTCTGGCAACATAAACAATTACGGATTTAGGGGGCTCTTCCAACAAGAGATGAGGAATGTATTGAAGTCCTACAAACACCAGGTGTATTTAATGTTCAAAATTGTTTGTTACAGGGCTCAACCTAATTATATAATGCCGAAATAAAGATCATTTCAACTTTTGGTGCTTATAATATTCTATCAAAATAACCAAACAAAAGGGTGGTTGAATCTAAAGACAAGTTTGCGATATGACTGTTAAGAGATTGTTCAATGTGATATCCACTGTTGGATCAGTTTTGCCATTATCACGTACAAGGAATGTATCGCTCTTTGTTCTTGTCCTTATAACAATGGGGTTTTATGACTTCAACCCATTGTAAGTTTGTGACTATTCCCATGCTTATGGCCACTAGACATAGGAGTTCACATCTGTGGCCCACTTAGTGCGCCTCAAAAATGTCTCACAATATATCTGAGCGTGCATTGAGAATATCTCCTTTTATCGTTGGAAAATGTTTTTAATACATGGTTAGAATGTGCCGTAGGGCAGATGTGAATTCTAGACATGGTCTCATGGTAGTTATATTACTTTTCATCCCAACTATATATGGGATCCTAGGACTACACATATATATGGGTTCCGTTTGTTTGCAATATAGACGCTAAACCATGGTATTTTATGTATTGCGGTTCGCATTTGTTTGATATGCAAAAATGTAATGATTATCGTATCAAAAATGTATTTTTTGACATTTTTATACTCTGAAAAAGAAAGCATTACTATACCTTTTTTAATTTTTAATATAATTTTGTATTTTTTTGATAACCAACTTTTTAACTAAAATTAAGGCATGAGAGCATGAGATAGTTAGAGCGTTTAATGATGAGACCTACACTTAACACCGATTTCAAACAAACAAAATAAGTGCAAAAATGATTTAAAATATGAATCATGTTTACATTCATTCATAAACCGAAAAAAGAATAAATATACAGTTTACATATTTACATTTGCATTTTCAAGCAAATACAATCCTAGACTCAATTTAAGAATGAAAACAATATAAATACATACAAAATAATATAAAATATAAGGTTTTATACCCGACATACTTGTATTCGTACTCCTTCCAAACCGAACCCTAGGCAATCCCTTTAATGAAATGAATGGTTGTATTTGGCCGAGGCAATATTTATGTCTTAAATTGCATTGATGTCTAATACGGATGATGTCCTGACTGTGACGACAATGTTTCAAATAGTTTCTCACCATTGATTGAGTCTCTCACTATCATGGAGATGCAGAATCTCTCGGTTCATGGATGATCCAAGGTCAATCTCAACCGACTGTTCCCCGCGTCTGAGCAGCATTGATCATGGTGTCGTAATTAGGGGGTGCAAGCGCAAGTGGAAGTTGGGTCAGCTCGGGATGGAAATTTGTGAAATTTTCAAGAATCCGAAAGTGGCTAAATCAATCTAATAGAAAATTTTAAAACTAAGAAATCCTGATTTGTAGCCATTGTAAACCATGTTTGATTTATTTATCCAATGTGATAAACACTTCAGTCAAAGTGGTAAACTAGTGGAACCTTACTACAATAGCAAGCAACTTTTGGGTCTGGAAAAGACTGAGGAATGTATTCATAAAAGTTCCAAATGAATAACAAATTAACAATTAATAAGTTCTATCAACTCTTTAACACGCATTAGTCTTTATCAGACAACGTAAGTGTAATGTCTGCTCTCTATCTATCTATCTATATATTCAATTTGGTATGATATCAAACCATAAATTATGATTTGAGAAATTCTCAAATTATACAGTTTGATCTGGTTTTTATTACTATTTTTAATAAGGTTTTGCAAATAACATATATACTCACACAAATAACAATTATAATGCAATCATCAAATCAAAATGTATAATTATTTTGTTTGATTAGGCATTTAATGCTAAAACAAGCTCCTGCTTCAAATCTTATTAGATCTTCTTAATCTTATAAAGTTGAGAATTATGTAAAATGTTTAAATGTTAAGGCTGTGTTTGGTTGTAGTGCAAATTTATTTGCATTAGTACAGATGCATAGGAGTGAAAATGTAAAGAATGAAAATTCTTGGGGATGTTTGGAACCGTGGCTGTTTTTCAAAAAAACGATGCCACGTCGGATCTATATAGGCATTTCAGCAAATGCCCATGTATCTCATTGTTTGGTTCAACCGATTATTAAAAAATCGGGCATGCCTCGAAAATCAGGACCCCACCGATGCATGGGTATTTCCCCCAACGGTTGACTAATGTGTATCCTTAAGTTAAAATTTGAAACAAAAATAACAAAATAAGTTAAAATTTGAAACAAAAATAGATCAAACATGGCCTAAATTAATACTTATAGCATCTTTTTGGCATCATTGCCATTGCTCTAGAAAACGTCACATCAACACCACGTTGTAAAAAATGGTGCTCCAAGAAACGGGCAATTATTTGGAACTGTTTGTCCATAAAAAACGGTGCTCCATACCACGCCTCGAAAATTAGGAAGGCATGGCTTGCAGCAACACCAAATTTAGCATTTCTTGCCAACTCATTGCTGCCAACAGGGCAGTAATATGGCAATGATATGGCACTGGATAATGGATACCATTGCTGAAAACGTTTCCTGAAGCATTGATACCAAACAGAAAAAAATTGTTGCACTAGGAAACGTCTTACTGGTGGCAAAGATTCTAAACAAAAAAAGACACCGTTTTCTCATACGGTACTTCCAACCCAAACATATACAGTTATGGTTTTGTCTGGTTTTTGAAATTCAAAGAATTAGGTTGAACCAGAAAATTAAAAAATTACGGTTTGAAATTTTTTTATGACCAAACCAATTTGTTTTCAAAGCCAGGCCAGACCACACTGCCAATTTTAATTTGATTCGAATCATTTTGATGCCTGGACCATATATTGAACACCCGTAAATTTTTTATTACGATTTTAAAGAGGATACGGACTCTGCTGACACAGATTTCTTTTGCACAGTTAAAACCCCAAAAGCTAATCAGTTGAAGGTATGCTTGACCAAATCCAAATCCGAAGTCCAAACCCACCCGTCCATCTGTACTCTGCCTGTAGCCTGTAGGTAGCCATCCAGTCTGGATTGGAATTTGGAAGAATCCAATTGGTAACAATTCATCAGTCATCACATCAGTGGTTAGAATTTGCTTCTACTTTTCTGGTGATTTGGCATTTGCGCGCACTGTGCTTCGTTCGTTCTTCTTGAGTTTTTGTAATGGGTAGAGCACAGTAAGCTACTCTGTCTCTGTCTATTAGCCTGAAACATCAGTTTTTTATGGATATTCATCCATCTGCTTTTCCTTCCGTTTTTGGCTTGTAATGCTATCACGGAAAGATGGATTTAAAGCAACCAGACTCATTAATGGCGAAAGCGAAATCATGAATCCCATCGTCTCTGCATCAAACGCAGCCTCATTGCAGACACCCCATAAGTTTCTTTTTAAGGTTTATATATTCCTATTGAGGTTAAAAACCAAGCGCCCACTAACAAACACAGTGCGCAGAAGAAAAAGAAACTATGAACGGATCAGTAGATCTCTATATCTCATGCCGCAATTCGGATCGTCCAGTCTGTCATTTTGGCCGCGGATTACTCTTCGATGAGCCAGTTTCAGTGGTTCCGTTCCAAGTGTCTTAAATGCCATGGACTGCACTCTGCAACTCGACTGCAATCGGTCAAGGATTTCCATGCATCACTGCTCTCTTCTCACCTGTTTTTTTGTACTTTTCTGTTTGTATGCTTTAAATCTTGCACAGAACCTGCTACAGTTTGCACCTGTACCACCTACAGGAAAAAGTTCCTGCCTTCATTGCTTCCATTTCTTCTGGAGTTTGGGCTTTAGACAGCAATATATTTTTGAAAACCAGAGCGAATGAAAACAGGACAATCTTGGAAACGTTACGACGAATTAGATGAACAGAGTAAATTGAACCATGTGAACATATCTGCCCCAACTAATTTCTTGCTTTGAAATAGTCGGGACTTCCTACTGAGTACTGACCCACCAAAAAATAGATAAGCTCTGTTTAATTGCTATTTGCTCAAACATCTGATCTAGTTGTGAAAAAATCTTCAAATATTGTGGTTTTCCCTTCCACGCTTGCATTGAATAATAAGACAACGATAGCCGTTAGTTTCGAGTTGGAAAAGATCGTTAGGTTTGTTTTAAAGTGGGAGAATTAAATTGTCTCAACAAGCAATAGGCAATAGATGGCGTGGACTCCATAATAAATTGAAGAAAAACCCGCCATTTTTCAGACTCAGTCTGACTAGAAGCCGACCTCTGTTTTGTTTAGAATTCATTTTTGTTGAAATCGCAGTTGTAGTCTGGCGGTGTTCGGCAATGTGTTTGTGTTTTGCTTTTCTGTTATCGTCTCCACTGTATATTACGGTTTGATCTGTATTCTATGAGCATTTTGGGGGAAAGTTAGAGGTACCCACATGGGTCAATATAGCTTAAAAAGCCTGCTTCTGGTTCTGGTTGTTGTTTCAGTTGTTTTTTTGTTTGGTTCCTGAAGGCCAGAATACCCTGTCGTTTCAGTTGTTTTCGAACTGCTCAATCTTTACAAGAAAGAACAGGGTAGCTAGATGGGGTTGAATTTGGCCGCTTTCTACTTCGATTGTTTGATTCATTTCTTCTCCATTGCCAAAATTACGAGTGGTTTTTGTGTTGTCTCGTATCTGATCTGATGTTTCATCTTTTATATCCTGTTGTTTTACAGTTACAGTTAACGATTTGTTTTTGACTATTTATTTCCCTCATTGTTTTGATAATGGGTATCTTTTCAAATAATCATGTCATCGTTGAGATGTTAACAACAGCCGCAGCGATCTTCTTGTTGTTGGGTACCTGCTCTGCGGCTGACGTTCCAGCTTCGTTCATCTTTGGGGATTCTTTGGTTGATGCAGGAAACAACAACTACATATTTTCTCTCTCAAAGGCAAATTATATTCCCAACGGGATTGATTTTGGGCACCCAACAGGCCGATACACCAATGGGAGAACGATAGCCGACATTATAGGCAAGTTGTGTAGCTGTAGATAGATTTTCATCAGCTTGATCCTGCTCTACTTTAATGGCGACTGAATAAAAAAAGCAGGAATTTTCTAAAGCTTTTGATTCACCAGGTCAGGAATTAGGTTTTGAAACTTTTGCTCCTCCTTACCTGGCTCCAACTACTGCTGGTCCCGTGATTCTGCAGGGAGTCAATTATGCATCTGGTGGAGGTGGAATTCTGAACCAAACTGGCAAGATCTTCGTAAGCTTTCGTTCAACTTGAAAATCCTGGTTTTTTGTTTCAACCTCGGAGTTGCTCAGTGACATCTGAATCTGATTTGATACACAATGTGTCTGTTCTTCGATTAGGTTGGCCGAATAAACTTGGACGCACAGATTGATAACTTCGCCAACACAAGGCACGATATAATCTCGATGATGGGCGACCCTGCAGCCTCGAAGCTGTTTAATGACTCCATTTTCTCCATTACAATCGGCTCAAACGATTTCATTAATAACTACCTGACACCCATATTATCGATACCAGAACAGAAGCTGGTCCTTCCAGAAACTTTCGTGAGCTCGATGATTTCAAAATACAGGAACCAACTAACAGTAGGAACTGGAACTCCTTGCTGCTCAAAATGACTTACAATCCTTTGAACCCGGTGCCTCTCCGATCAGTTAATCGCAGTTTTCTGAATTTTCTTCTTCTGCAGAGACTATATCATTTGGGTGCGAGAAAGATTATTGTGGTGAGCGTGGGTCCGATCGGGTGCATCCCATTTCAGAGGGAGCTTCATCCCTCAGCCGGAGACAGCTGCGCTGCCTTCCCGAATCAGATAGCCGGAATGTTCAACGACAAGCTGAGGTGCCTGGTCACAGAGCTGAGTTCAACGCTCAAGGACTCAAAATTTGTGTACGCAGACGTTTATCGAATCGTTTCAGAAATCATTGAGAACTACGAATCGTTTGGTGAGTGTAGACTCATAGAATAGTGCATAGGTGATAGGTGATAGGTTAGGTGGTGGGGTTCTGGGGGTTGGGTACTTGGGTTCACGTGGTGGAAGGATTGTTTTACTTTTGTCTAAAATGATTCGACGTCTGAATTTGTCGTGGTCTGTGTGATTGGTGTCTTGTGGTTTTCAGGTTTTGAGAACGCTGATTCCGCATGCTGCCATGTCGCCGGACGGTTTGGAGGTTTGGTACCTTGTGGACCCTCTTCTAAGGTTTGTGTGGACAGGTCTAAGTTTATTTTCTGGGATGCGTACCATCCTTCGGATGCCGCCAACGTTCTCATAGCAGAACGGTTGATGAATGGTGATCGGAGCGACGTTTCCCCAATGAATATTAGACAACTCGTCCGAGCTTGATAATGGACAAGATTGTATTGTTTATGGCTTTTGGGGTGGACCGAATAATAAAAAGTAAAAACCCCTTCTTCCTTTTTCTCATTCTCTTTTGTTTTTTGTTTTGTTATTCGAATTCTCCATTTTTTTTTACTGAAAGATCAGGAGATAGATTTTTCATGGTTTAAAAAGGCAGAGCAGTTGGTGACAATTTGTGTTAAGAAAGGAAAAAGGTTCCCTACTTTGGTCATTTTTTTCGGTTCAAATCTGTTGAGACGTTTAAGGCCTGTCTACAGTCTATACAAGTCAAACCAGTGTTTTCGAACTTGGGAACCATCCAGGGCAATCGGTTTTATATCATCTTTAACTCAGTCAGCGGCCCGATGACTTAGGTGGCCGAACCGTTGATCCATTCAATTTTTATTTTAATTTTGTTTTTTAAATTAGAACAAACCATCCATTCAATCCGTACAATTAGACCATTAGCCCAAAAATCGATGGCCAAAATGATTATAATTCCGAATCAATTTTTAAAACTTGGGGTCAAACTTCAAACCTATATAATATATATTAGGTTATACGATGCATAATTTTGATCCTTGGTATAAATTGGTTCAGGTTTGGTCGAAGATGGCAATTTTTATGATGCTAAAGAACTTTGACGGATCTGAACCCCCTGGGATCATGGGTCAGGGTAGGGCATTGGGTCTGGTTAAAGAACTTCGACGGATCTGAATACCAGCTCATGGGTCAGGCCAGGCTAGGCCTGGGCATTGGGCCCATGTCAATATAATAATTAATATTAGTTTATTACCACTTCTATGACACCGGTTAGTTGATCATGCCTTCCTGGTATCATACATAGTTGGACTTGTTGAGCATTTGTTAAAATTAGAATGGGCCTAGACGATATAGGTGAAAATTTTCAAATATCTTTTCTATGGGCTTATGATCACTTCCCCAATCATGTCAGTGCTTGCTGATAATTCTCTTGCAACTTGTTGCAGTGAAGAGTTGAAACTTTGGATGTAGGGATGTGAACGGATCGGGACTGGGTCAGAATATGAAATGTTAAGGATTCGGACCTGGAACCAGATCTGATAGGGTTTATAATTTCTAGACCTAGAATTAAACCGATTGATTCTTGGGACAATCGGGTCTGACCTGATAGAGTCAATTATAATAAATAAAAAATAAATACTTATGTTTAATATATATTAAATATTTTACATATATAATTTATTTAATATTATATATATTGGGTCGAGTTTGAATCGGTTCGGGACTAGATAGAACCGGTTCCAAATTGATAGTAATTGGGACCCTATATCAAGACCCAAAACCGATTCATCGGTTCTAGTTTCCAAAACCAGAACCAGCCCAATCAATTTGGGTCCATCAGGTCTGCCAGGTCAGACCGGACCTATTGACAGCCCTATTTGGATGTGAATCCCTGCTTCATCAATGGTTGGGCATATTTTCTGTTTAGGGGAGAGATACCCCTATTTTGTATCTCATTTGCGTAGGGAAAAGGTAATATCAGCATCTGTTGGGAAATCATTGGAACGATTCATTGCTCGATCTCCAATAAGAATACATCTACAAAGATCGAGTTCAGATCTGTGCCCCACAACATCCCACAGCGTATCTCTGTCTTGTATTGGGAACATCTCCCGATGATGACATCATCAAGTCTGGTATTATCATGGGGAGATGTTCCCAATGCACGGCGGGCATGCGCTGTGGGACATTATGGGATGCAGATATGAACTCCAAAGATCTGGTGCCAACATACTAAACCTGACTACGTAATCAATTATGAATAAGCAGAGTTCACAGCTGCGCCCCATAACGTCTCACAGCACATTTCTACCGTATATTGGGAATATCTCTTGGTGATGACCTCATCAGTTTTAGTACATCATCAAGAGATGTTCCCAATACACGGCGGGAATGTGCTGTGAGACATTATGGGACACCCCTTATGGGGCGCAGGTGTGCACTCAAATAAGCACGCCTTGAAAAAATAAAAATAAAAAAGAAAATTATGAATAAGCACAGCAATATTTGGTGCGAAGATAAGTATGCCCACTTTTGCATGACGTACATATTGTAGTGGGTTGTGCTGTGCTGGCACATGGGCCTCGGAGGGCTATGTCTTCTTAGCCCGGAATCCCTCATAAGGGAAGCCCAGCACCGTTCACATATCAAGCCTAGGCAGGCCTGGGTCGAGCCAGGCCTTGGGTGGCACGATGTTTTTTGAAAAAAATTAATGGAAAAATGAAAATAAATTAAAAAGATAGATAAAAAAATTGAATGTATGGGCCATGGACAATGCCAGCACGACATGGGGTTTGGGTTGGGCATGACACAGCCCACTTGCTACAGCTGTAGTAGGATCTGAACGATGGTGTCTCTAGTTTATTGTATCTATGTAAATGATGTTTGTGAATAGTGCAAATTACTAAAACCTCCTCTGATGTTTTGGATTGTTGTTAAAACTTCTCTTGAAGTTTGGTAATTGTAATTACTTTCCCTTAAATACAGTTAGAAGTAGACCTTCTTAGTCAAAATCTTCTAAGACGAGGCATGAAAATGTTCAAAATACCCATGTAGTTATTATTAAGGCTGGTTTCTTCATAAAACTACACAAATTTTATGACTTTATGAAAAAGAAAAAGAGAAACAAAAATTTAATGGTGCAGCTTTACCTTTGAGCGACTAATATGAAGGATAAATTTGAAAATAAATCAATTTCAGAAAAGAGATTAAAAGGGTTTGGAGTAACAATTCATATGCAGAGAAAACTTGAAAAATAAACATCTTAGTCATAAGTAATTGCATGGGTATTTTGGACATTTTCATGCTTCTTTCTAGAAGATTCTATCTTTCTAACAAAATGGGTCTACTTGCAACAATGTCAGAAAATTTAGGGGAGATGATTGCAATTACCAAACTTCAAGATAAATTTTAGCAACAACCAGAAACTTTAGGTGAGATTTTCAGCAATTTACCCTTATGAATAAAATAGCAAATTTGAAGCATTTTGAGAATTTGATTCAATTAGGAGACCTGGAGGCCGAGTTTCCTCTAAGAAATCCAACTTTATCTTTCTTCTTGACTCACCCCACTCCCGTTCCAGTTCTCTTCTCTCTATTTAAGATGAAAAATGTATAGATAAAGGGTAGACAACGGAAGAAGGTTTGAACATTAATTTTTCATTTCTTGCACAACATATAGAAGTAGGGGTGTTTATGGTCCGGTCCGGTGCGGTTTAGAGAAAATCTTAGACTAAACTGGTAAATTACGATTTGAGAAATTTTTAAACTGAACCAAACCATTTTGGTATGGAAACCAAACCGTTTGGAGACTTTGGACCATTCTATGATTCTTTTGGCCTTTAACCCAATTAGAAAGCCTAAATAATTCCCCTAAAAATAAACTTAAAACTTTTATTTATTATTTTATTATAAAATAAAGAGTTCATTATATATTTATAATTTTACACATTTCATTTAGATATATTATATATAATATTTATATATCATATATTCATATTATATATATATATATATATACAATTTTGGTTTACGATTTACAAGTTGATCCGGTTTATAAAATTCAATAAACCAAATCAAAACTATAAATCATAATTTAAAAAAAAAATTCAAACCAAACCAAATCGTTTATAACCGAATCAAACCATAAATTCGGTTTTACGGTTTGAACCGTATAAAGAACACCTCTGTATAGAAGGGAAGAAAATATATGTTGCCAACTGGTTGGTACATGGCTAAAATCACATAACGATAGTGTCTAACGTCTTCGATTACCTTCTCTTCTCGGAAAGGGGACTACGTTGTCAATTCCTCTTGTGTACGGTTCCACAATCCACAAGGATAGAAGCATGAGATATTACCGATCAAACTAACAACCTTCCAAATTTCAGTGACCCCTGAATTCCTAAGATGATGTCTAACAACTAATTCAAAGCTATTATTTAGGCCCTTTTTTCTTTTTTGTTTCTGGGAATTTTTGCACCACTGTTGCGTTTTGCTTCCTGGGTAACCAATTTCGTGAATGTTTGGTGTTCGATGATGACTATTCCTTATCGATTTTTCAAAAACGGGTGGTTTTTTAGACCAGTTTTTTTTTTTAAATAGATAAAATTTTGTTGTTTGGTATCATTTCTGTCATGTAAGTTGATTTTTGAGAAATCAACTTTGAATCTATTTGATACTGATTCTCAAGAATCCATTATTTTTGTATTAGGGTTATTCAATGCAATGTTGGATGCCATGTCATTCTTAAAAAATCAAAATCAGCTAGAAATTAGGAAATCAGCAAAAGTGGTGATTCCTAAAAAGGGCTGATTTTAAGAATTGATTTTTGGCCCATTTCCTGAAAATCATCGAAATCAGCCTGCCAAACAAAAACTTCAACACCGCATTAATGCCGTTTTCTGAGAAAAGAACATCACATCGGTGCCACGTCGGAAAAAAACAGTGATTTAGAAAACATCTTCTTATTTGACATTATTTTTTGCAAGAAAAAAAAAAAAAAACGTTGCTCTAAACCATGCTTTGAAAATCGGGAAAATGTGGTCTTAAAATCACCAAATTCAATATTTTCTCAGAAAGCAACCTATTACTGCCAGCAGTACAATATTATGGCGATGTGGCATCACCTTTGAGTGTTGAATAATATAGATGAATGCTGAAAACAGTTATACAGCAATGATATCGAACAAAACCAGTGTTAGTTTCCTAGGAAACAGCCTGTTGCAGCATCGATGCGAAACAAAAAAAAAAGAAAAGAACGAGAAAATGGTGAAACAGACCCTATGCATACAGCACCGTCTTTTCAAAAAACATCTCTGAAACAAATGCAAAACACCTACATCACCAATGGACTATATTCTATTTATAGAACCAGAGTTTCAACTTTCAAAGGAAAATTGGGCAAGTACCGGAAACGTACTACTTCTACCATGTGATACTGTGCCATGGATAATTCCTAAACCTAAACGGCTAAACCAACAAAATTCCCGGCGAATTGGGCGGATGCCCCGGAAATACCGTTTCCGTGAGCATTGTTTATTGGCCAAACTACCCTTCCTGCGCACTTCCGCTTTGAGAATTAAGTTACGAACTTGGAATTATTTACGCGACCATTGAACATATGGATCGACTGATCGAGATTGTTTGTTACTGCTTCTAAGTTCTAAACAGCAGAGAGAGAGAGAGAGAGAGATCATGGTGGAGGTGGAGGAATTCAAGCAATTCGATGTAGTTTCTGATTTCACAGATCATTATTACTACGGGCCCAGTGTGAGTATTATTAGCAGTAATGCAAGGAAGAAGATAATGCGAGAATGGAAGATCTTGGAGAACAACCTCCCGGAGTCGATCTTCGTTCGAGCCTACGAAGGTCGAATGGATCTTCTCAGAGCTGTAATCATCGGAGCTGCTGGGACTCCCTACCACGATGGCCTCTTCTTCTTCGACATCCTCTTCCCTTCGGACTACCCGGCGCGGCCCCCTCAGGTGCACTACCATTCTCATGGCCTCAGAATAAATCCCAACCTGTACAAAAGCGGCTACGTCTGCTTGAGCCTTCTCAATACTTGGCACGGCCACAAGAACGAGAAGTGGAACAGCTCTGCTTCCACCGTTCTGCAGGTCTTAGTATCGATTCAGGCGTTGGTGCTCAACGAGAACCCTTTCTTCAATGAGCCCGGCGCTATACATTGGAGTTCGTCGACCAAGGCGTCGTCGGATTATAACGAGACGGCATTCGTGTTGAGTTGCAGGACTATGCTATATTTGCTACAGAAGCCGCCCAAGAACTTTGAACGCTTTTTGGTCGACCATTTTCGTAAGCGTGGAGAAGCTATTCTAACAGCTTGTAGAGCCTACAGGGATGGATTTGCCAAGGTCGGTGGTGTTGTTCATGTTCAGAGTGGAGGAGATACGGCAACCCCCTCCTTTGCTGTGTCCAAAGATATGGTGAAGTGGATGGATGACCTGTACCCGGTTCTAGTGAAGGCATTTGAGAAAAATGGAGCTTCACCGGAGAGTTTTCTTCTCGAACAAGAAGAGAATTTAGAGGCGGAAACAGAAACAGCAGAGCAGAAGACCTCGTCCAGCTCTCGTGTCATTGTAGACAAATTATTAGTACGGAGTCCAGAGATGCAGCAGCGGACATACTCAACAACTCCTCATCAAGTGATTGTAAATAAGAAGAAAGACGGGTTCTTAAAGGGGAGCTTCATTAGCAAGCTGATCAGTAAGATGTTGTGTTTAAAGTAGCAACAATAGAAAAATGAAACAAAGATTAGGGAGAGATTAGACTGAAGAAACTCAACTAATTGTAATTGTAGGGGTACGTGTGTCTTTTCAGCTATTCAAACCATTGGTTTAATAATTTTATTTTACTGGTAAGCATAATTCTAAATATGATAGTCCAAAATCTTATTTTTTATTTTTTATTTTTTATTATTAATCAGATGTATATTGCAAAATCCAAATGTGATAATCGAGTTATGACGTTTAAAGTATTATTGAAAATCTTTTTGTAGTGTTTTATCTTTTTAGTGTATCTTTTTCTTTTTATTCATTTATAAAAAATGTAAGATTTAAATAGAGGGAATTGAATGATATAAAAATTAATAGTTTAATTTATAATTTAAATCTTACAATTAAATAGGGATTAAATTCAAAATTGAGTATTTTAGTATACAATTTTATTCATATTTTTAATAATATTGCAAATATGGAATTATAGATGAGTTCAATTTTTTGTATTTTTGTATGTAAAAATAATTTAATATAAGATAAATTTCTTAAACTACCCTTATGGTTTACCTAATTGACTAAGTGTACTCTTACTGTTTGAAAACTAATTAATACCCCTACTATTTCTGACAATTGACTAAATCTACCCTTATCATTAAAATCTATTAATATTCCGTCAAAACCACGTGATAAATTTTTTTAAAACCCAATGCGACCGTTGTCCCCTTCCTCTCGACCGGACACACCCTTCCTCCTCCAACCTCTCTCTCTCTTCCCTCTATCTTCAGCCCGCATGACGTTTAAAACCCAACCTACGAGGACAGCTCGTGTCACGACGACCAAAGCAGAAACAGAGTTTTACTTGTTAACTAAGGCAAGCTTGCATGAAATGCAGTTTCTGGTTTCCCTTAAAAAGTGGTGCTTTCGACACTGACGTCTGCCTCTCCTTTTCTCTTCCATTGCCATTATTGCCTTTTGTTTTCTCTGCGCCCTTTGTTCTTTGGAAGAATCGATAAGATCAAATTTGAGGAGTTGAGAGACTTATGAGTCTAGTCAGGGAGATCACATTACTCTGTTTCTGATCTTTCGAAGAAACTAATCTCGTGATTCTCAATATTTCGTGTGGTCTCTGAGCTTTTCACTTGTTAAGACGAGTTCTTCTCTTCTGTTCTCTCACTTGCCTTTGTGGTCGGGCAATGCATCGAAATTTCGTTCTGAAAGGTGAGGATTCTTCAGTAAATGTTTCAATCAAATATCGTTTGGTAAAGAAGATGCAGAGCTTCTTCGTAAAGTAGTTGGGTTACGCTTTAAGTTGCAAGGAAAGGTTCCAACGTGGTTTTCGAGCATTTTCCTCTTATTGAAACAAGCAAGAGATTTGCGTTATCGGATATCTGGATAGAATCCAAATCATTTCTTTGTAGAGGTTGCTCTCTTTTTGGTTTACTTTCCTCGATGGGAAAAGTTAGCGTTTCCGTTTCAAATATCGAAGAGGGAGTTAATGAAATCCAAATAATGAGTTTTGGAGTCCAGACTTAGTCTATATGCCGGTTCAGTTGCTCCCCGGTGATTTGGTGTTGACGGAGACTGTGGGAGGAAGAGAGAGGTCGTAGGAGGAAGGGTGTATCAGGTCAAGAGGAAAGGGACAACTGTAGCATTGGGTTTTAAAAAATTTTAAACGTAACGTGTGTACAGGTTTTGATGGAATACTATGTTAATGGTAAGGGTAGAATTAGTCAATTGTCAGAAACAGTAAGGGTAGGGTTAGTCAATTTTCAAACAATAAGGGTATACTTAGTCAATTAGCTAAACCATAAGGGCAGTTTAAAAAATTTACCCCTTTAATATATAAACATACTTTTTATTTAAAATGAAACATATATGATATTATACATGTGCCTGAATGATTTTTTTTTTTTTGCAAAGTTTATGTATTTTTTATTTTATTAATTTTTATTATTTATTAATGACATTAAAGGTTAACACATTTAACTCAAAAGTTGAACGATTTATTATCAATTTTTATATTCCATTTTTGGCTAGTTCTAAATTATGTATTGCATTTTAATTATCAATAAAAATAATTCTTGTTTTGGTTAATAAAATATCATAAATGTGTCTAATTTTTCTATGTTTTTATGTAATTTTTTATATTTATTTCTATTTTAAAAAAATTATTACCTAACTATGACTTAGTAGGTAATTAATTTGATTCAGATGGTTGAACTGCTTAGTCACCATTTAGATAAAAATGGTTTTGCTTTTGAGTGAATTTTAAAATATATGGATTTATATTGTTAAAAATATTGGCGTAGATCTAATTAGTAGCATTTATTAGTAAAAAAAATAACTTAAAAATATAAGATTTAATAAGAGAAAATGGGATTTAATACCTTAAGTATAAAGACTTAATGAGAGGGGATTAAATGAGACGGAAAGTAAAAATCGAAGTTATATTTTCAACCCTTACAATGGCTTTTATACCCTTTTCCAAACAAGAAATAAAGAGAAATTTTAATCCAAAAAAAGTTTCACATTGCATACACACTTTTATATATAGTATAGATATAGATTGATACAATTCTTACTTTTTTTTGAAACTCTATGATTTTTAAGTGTTTTGAACTTGTTGTAATGTAAGTAGGGGTTTGCCAATTCGGAATCAAAATCTTTTGGAATGGAATAGGAATGGTTTGTTCCCCGATCTGTTTGGCTAAGACGGAAACCGGAATCAAAATTGGATTTGGCTGGATTGGGATTCTCATTCCCAAGGTAGGGAGATGAAATAATCATTCCCACAAATGGGGGAATGCCATTCCATCATAATGGGAATTGGATTTCTATTCTGCCCAATCAAATAGTAGTCAATTCTAAGGCACAGTATGGAAGGAGTATAAATACACATTTATAAAGTGTAAAAACCTTGTATTTTGTATGTATTTGCACATTACATATTTGTATTTGTACTCCTACCAAACTGAGCCGAGGAGTGCAAATACAAGTATGTATAGTGCAAAACCTCATTCGTATATTATATTTCTAAAACTTGTATTTGCAAGGTGCATATTTTTATTTGTACTCTTCCCAAACTGAGCCTAAGGGCCCGTTTGGTTTATAGGAATAGGGTTTGGAATTAGAATTAAAATGTGTTCAACCATTTGATTGGATGAAATCAGAATCCCATTCCTATTCTTGGTGGAATGGCGTTCCCACATTTGAGGGAAGGGAATGGTCATTCCTTCCCCTCCCTTGTGAATGAGAATCCATTCTCATTATTTCTGATTTCCATCTGAACTAAACAAACAGGAGGAATAGGCCGTTCCGATTCCAATTATGATGGATTTTGATTTCGATTCTAATTCCAACTTTCAACCAAATGGATTTTTTTTTGTTGGAAGTGTTATTTATCAAATCTCTAAACTTTGGGCAAAATGCTAGGCTAGTTGTTTTGACTTTTGATCCAACAACTCATTTAGCACATGTAAGTGGCCATTTGGGAGTGCTTATTTTTAAGTACTTATTGAAAAAAAATCACATATTTTAGGTTGAGACCACACCTATAAGCACTTTTATGTGTTCGGAAAATAAGCTTTAATAAGCATTTTTTTGAAGACTAGTAGGGGACCCGTGCGATGCACAAGAAAACCCAATGTCTAATTTGCAAGTAAAAATGATCAAAAGGATATATTGAATGCCGACTGCTAGTAAATTTCCAAAAGTATATATACTAAATTATTGATTTTTTAAATATTTTAAATAATTTATTTTCTTTTTAAATATATTATTTACAAAATTACACTAATTTATCTTTTACTTTTTAATATAAGTTAATTAATAATTTCCTTTTCTAAAATTTTCCAAGATTATATTAATTTGTATTAATAACAGGAATAATTTGTGCAATTACTGGTTCAAATTACCGTTTTCCTTTACCAATACTAATTTATCTTTAATAATTTAAAATGAAAATCACACAAATTTTAAATAATTTTCCAAAATCTATCAAGTGTAATAAAATTTCCCAATTTTCCAAAATATTTCAATAATTATTTACTACATTTTAAAGAAATTTTCCAAAATTACATTAATATATTTTTTATTTTTTCTCCAAAATTATGATATTTTGTTTGCCAATTTGCAAACTCCACCAACTCTTTCCTAGAGCAATAATTGTTGACTTTTTAATTTTATAATTTTTAATGAATTTTAAATGGCATTTGTAAAGAAATTATTGGTTAAAAATTTTGTGTATTCATTGATTTCTAGTAATTTTTCTGGAAAACAACACAATTTAATTGATAGTGTAATAAAATTAATTTTAAGAAATTTTAACTATAGTAAAATATTTATTATAGTGATTACTCTATTTAATTACTACACCAAAATTCCAACAACAATTAGTAGTGTAATAATTATTTTGAAAAAAATAATTAATTTAACTACACCAATAATTATTATTGGAATTACAGTTATTTAAAAAATTACTGTAATTACAGTATTTTGAAAATAACAAATTTTACTATAATAGTTAATGTAGCTTAATAATTATTATTACACGATTAATAAAATTACATTAATAAATTTCTGAAAATGTAAACTCCAATGATAATTATTACTGTAATTACTATCAGCAATAAAATTCCAATAATTATTGTTATAAATTTCGGTAAAATAATAATTTACACTAAAATTTCAAAGATAATTATTTCTGTAATAAAGTTAATATGAAAAACAAATCTGTARTTAGAAATAAAATTTTCATTACAATAATTATTGTAATTGAATTATTACAATAAAATTCCAATAAGATTTATTAGTGTAATAAAATTATTTTGAAACAAACTGTAATTATTACACTAATAACTATTATTGGAATTTCTGTATTTGAAAATTACTGTAATTACAGTAATTTCAAATAACAGATTTTATTGTAATTTATGATTCTGTAGTAATTATTATTTTTAAATAATGGAAATTTGTGTAATTTAATAATTACATTATTGGAATTGATACAAAATGGAAAATTGTTAATTATGTAGCAATAATTATTACTA